CAACAAATTACATCTGCTAAACTGCACTCATTTCCTTTTTCATCATCAGTTCTAAGTTTCTTTGTTCTAGTAGTCAGAGACACAAGTGAATGACTGCCTTAAGGGGATACAAACATTTTTCACAAGGATTTTGTGTTCTCACTGATGGTGATGCAATGCAGAAAATCATGGCCACTTTCTTTTAAAAGTGGCCATGATTTTCTTTCAATCAGCTGATGACTTCTTCTTTGACAATGATATCGATTTATGTGAAGGTTGTTTCATCAATTTATCATCATGTAATGTTGCTCTATGTTCCTGAATCAAAGAATACCACACATAGAATACTCTTTTGAGTAACCTTACAACATCCACATTATACCGGGTATGCTCTTTTTTGTTGGCCGCCACAGACATCTGGGAATCAGAGCAATAATGTAATGTGCCACACATTACATTATTGCTCTGATTTCCAGATGTCATGACTTTTTTTTTAGCAGAAAAAAAACACACGAGTTCTTCATTTTGCTTGAATTCATACACTTAATTATTTTCTTTAGTATTCATCAGTACATGTATCCTTAGAATATTCCAGTGTTCTAAATCAAGACTAGCTAGTATGACATTAATGAGAGCTCTATGTAACTGTGAAAGGCTTCCCATGCAGAATCATTTTTCATATCTTTAAAAGTTAGCATAACAATTCCACAGTACCTAGCATAGCATGAAAATTAATTTACTGACCTTTTCCAGCCTCACCTGTGGCAAACCTAGCCACTTCAGACTATTTTGGTTTCCCTTTAAGGGTTGCCCTAGACTGGTTTATATATGCAGTTTGATGTATCTGTTTAAAATGTAAAAGAGGGAATTTGTATGCTAGTGGCACGAAAGCCGCTAGCATTCATATGGTAGTTTCATGAACAGTGATTTTCAACACTGTTCATGAAACGAACAAAGTACCGAATGGGATCCCACACACAGGGGGTTGTGTGGCTCCCATTAACCGATTGCAACATTGTATCTATCACTGTTAATTGATTCAGCTACCGACCACGAGGCTACGACCATCTTGGATTTCCTTTGTGCCCAGCTGTGTTTGGTCGTCGAGTGCCTGGAACTAAAATCGGCTACTCGACGACACGAACACCGCTGGACTTCCAGGCCGTTCAGGAGCGGCGGTCTTTCAGTACTTTCATGAAGTGTGCGCTCAAACCCCAGCTACCTGCCGAACGGTCATTCGGTACAGTGACATGAATAAAATAAAAGTTATAGATTTTTATGTAAAAAGCCAGTTCTGCTGTACGGAGGGATAATCCACTTAACAGGATATTCTAGTGGGAGTATCCCTCTCGTACATCAGTGCATGGTGGGAGAAATGTTCTGTATGTTAAGTCCCCCAAGTAGTCCTGTACTGTACAACCCCTGTAAAGTCAGTAAGGAAACCCCTTGCATGGGGAACCACATAAATACTGGAGCTTGTGAATAATATCGTCAGTTGACTCCCAGAACTTTGTTTCGTCCGGTTACTGGGGGGATTTGGGATATTGCCTTCATTTTTAGCGCTTTCCTTGGATTACCTTCTTTTATCAGCAGAGATATTGGGATTTAATATTGCAGCTCCGCTACATCCCCTAATGCAGTTTTCTAAGAGAAACAGTTTACCGGTTAACTTTGAATGTTCATATAGTTTCTGTAATAATGAGGACCGTTTGCTATGTGTTCATTCCTGGTGTGAGCTAGTTGATCATGCTCCACTAACAGGCTCATAACTGTACTTGCTTTTCTGTTGTTACTATTTCTTAATACCAGGCCTGTCTTTGTGTAGCATATACTATAAGTCATTTAAAAGACAATCTTATCTCCTACATGAGGCCTATTTAAATTAATTCCTCAAGGGTTCAGTAAAACGTAAAAAAATTGGAAAATACCTACAATTCCAACTAAAAGAGCAATCATTTCTTTGATTCTTTAAAAGTAAAAATACCGAGATGGCCGTTAGTCATCCATCTTTGCTTTATGCTCAATTAGGCCAAATATCGAATTCTTGGGAACAAACGATTAAGAAGAGGCATAGTAGGTACATGTGGTGGCATAGTAGGTACATGTGGTCAACTACTATATACTAAGTGAAGTGTAGTTATGTTTTAGAGTTGAAATGTCTATGTTATCCTATTGATTGGTAAATAACATTTACTGCTTTAGATTTAAATATCTAGGCCACTGATAGAGAACTGATATACTTCTTTGGTTGTTGTAAAGAAACAATAATGGTCAAAGACGTGTATAATTAATATTTTGTATTTGCATTATTTTTCCTCTTTCCCTTCCTTTTTTTTCTCTTACCCGTACTAAGTATGTTAAAAAAAATATATGGTATTTTATGTTTACATTTTTTTTAATTATTTGAAAATAAATCGATATTTAATGTTGCATTTGAACATTTTATAGTTGCCAATATTCACCTTTGACCCTACAAACTACGTTCTCAACATTTTTTTTCTATTTTCTTTCACTTATGTCTAGAAATTGTAAACAGTTAAAAACTCTATTTATCCCCCAAGGACGGAAGCAATTGTCCAAGTTTGAGCTATATGTCGGTTCAACCATAATTGACCTCTTTCATACCATGGCTAAAACCAAGAAAAAATATGTTCATTTAAATTTTTTGCAATGTTTTAATATTTTATTACTACTTAATATTGTGTTATGTATTGATATAGGATATCAAAAGAAAGACATTTCTCATTTTAAAAATTATATTTAAATGTATGAATGCACTTAGACAGAAAGGGTAACATTTTGGTAGAATGAACGCATGGCAAAAGTGCCAAAAAGTTCTTAATCACAAGCACATTGCATCACAAAATCGCTTTGGTCCATAAGAGGTTAACAGCATGTCTATTACTATCCTGCTAAAGTTATTTCTGCAGTCATAGTTCATCAGGAAAAAACATTTATTTTTTTTACATCTGCTGATGAAGCTTTTTTTTTGCCTGCGTCAAAAAAAATAATAATAATTGATGCCTTTTAAATAAATTGCCAGTTTATTCATGACGGAATAAAATATATATGCATCTACAATCAACAATCGGGGGGAGCAATACGAGAATATTTCCTCGAGGAAGAAACAAAGGACTTTAACTGTTCCGAGTTCTTAATGCAAGAAAATTTATTTTGTAATAATACAGTGCAAGGAACTATAATATGTCCATTGCGCAAAAAAAACAGATCTGCATGTATTAGAGCAGATCTCTATTTAATATAGATGTCACTACAGATAATCCAAGGGCAATGGGTGCTGAAAGAGAGAAAGAGACATTTTGCCTTTTTTTAATGCAGAGACCGTTTTCTATGCATTCTTTCAGACCCATATTGTGTAATGCATCAGAGTATAATATGCGATATAATATACTGCTATCATCCATCCTGGCACAGAAAACTGCATGGGAGAATGGAAAACCCTTTTCTGAAGAAGACAAACATATCTCACTTTGTATTCTAGACAATGCTGCTCCACATGCTAAAAAAGTTAGGCAAATATAGTCACACTTTTAGATAGTTATACAGGCTGAAAAAAGACTTATGTCCATCAAGTTCAGCCTTTCTCACAGTTGTAGCATTTTTATATTTTTTGTAGAAGTCTTTAAAGAGAATAGGTGGGGAGATCAATAGAAAAATGTGAAGAGAACAATGTAATGGGGTAGGAGAGAGTATGCAAGAATAGAAGGAAGGAGTGCGAATAAAATGGGTTATGGAAATGAGAGAATAAAAGAAAGGAAGAGAGCAATTGAAAATTGGGAATATGTAAAACACATAAAATGGCTTAGGAGAGAGGTAAACAAAAGATAGGGTAGGTTGAGTCAAATATATCCCTCCTAGTTTATACATACTGTACGAAGAAGGTCCTCTAAGAAAATCAAGTGGTGGTCTCAATCATCTAATATTAACCAAGGTCATCATGGTGGAAGTGTCTACTAATTACATTGCTACATTGGGTTATGTGGGTTATTGGATAATATAGCCAAGTCGATATATACAGGTCACAATTACTACCAAGTGGCTTTGGAATCCCCTGGCCCTTAATCAAAAGAATGTTGAGCACTCTTAGTGCCATTATGTTGAAAACAAACACTGAATTGATAGGGGGTATTGGGTAATGCTTGATGTTCTCTTCACCAGGAGATGTCCATCACATTGTATTACCAGAGCATTTTATTTTGTCTGAATTATGATTCAGCCATATGTAAGATTATTTGTACAATTATAAAACCGAGCACATAGCATGTTGATGACTGAATACATTGTGATTCAGGGTTCTACATGTCGTGCCAAAAGGAGGGATACATAAGTGAGAGAAAGCTGATTTTTTAAAAAAATTTTAAGGGAGGGTCAAAAGGTTGGCCCAGTGATATGGACTGCATCTCCCTAGAGATGGGAAAAAGATCATTGATGATTAGCCACTACATGTTAATTTTATTCACAAATCAAATGAGAAGGGAGAAGGGACCAGTCCAAAGAGCAGTCCAAAATCTGTATATTTCCTACATGAATTATTTTAGACACTTTGACTGCAGCTATTAATAGAGACAGATCAGCAGTATTATTGTATGTTTTACTTTTGCTGGCACTGTGTGCGAGTGGGAGCTTGTGTTATTGCTTGTGAAAATCTTAAGCTTAGACAGGGCCCATCCTAGGGTCACTGACGGCTGGGTGTACAAACAATTTTGGTACCCTCAGGTGTACTTGGCTAAATTCGCCAGTTAGCATTTCATCAACTTCCTACGTTATCAGCTTTGTCCCTGCCATCTTTGTGCCCAATTACCAGTAACTTATATGTCCCCACACAACTGGTCAAGACCATCTTTGTCCCCAGACAGCTGGTCAAAGTTATCTCCGTCCCCACACAGCTGGTGAGGGTCATCTCTATCCCCACATAAAATCCCAGTGCCATCTTTGTCCCCAAACCACTAATCAGGGTCATCTCTATCCCCACACAAAATCCCAGTGCCATCTTTGTCCCCAAACCACTAATCAGTGCCATCTTTGCCTCAAAATAGCTAGTTAGTACAATCGTTGTCCAAAAATATCTTATCAGTGCCATATTTGAACCAAATTGCTATTCGGTGCCATATTTGTCCCAGATAGCTCATCAGTGCAATTTTGGGCACAAATGGCTAATCTTTGTCATCTTTATGATGAAATGACTAATCGGTGCCACCCTTGTGCTCAAATGGCTAATCAGAGCAATCTTTGTGCCCAAATGGCCAATCAGTGCCCTTTTTGTGGTCAAATGACTAATCAGTGCCATCTTTTTGCCCAAATGACTCAGCAGTGCTATCTTTGTCCACAAATTGATAACCAGTGCCTTAGTAAATTTCTCTTTTAAATCATCTTACCTGTGCCATGTTGTCTTCAATCAGCTTGTCAGTTTGTAAACTTTGCCTTCCAGCCCTGCCGCCCAGTGCTGGTCATTAGGGTGGGGAG